TTATCGGTAAATCGAAATTGTTATTCAGACACGAAAACAATTAAGAAAACAACTAATTTCCCATTTAAAAACAAAACTGTTTTGATGAATGAAAATATAGAGAATAAAAACTGTGTAATTTGTTTAAAAGAATCACATCCTATATTTCGCTGTGATAAATTTTTGAAATTAACGCCGCATAAAAGATTTGATCTTGTTAAATATCATAAACTATGTGAAATTTGTTTGAAAAAAAATCATAAAAAGTGGGAATGTAAATCGTCGTATGTATGTAATTGTGGTCAACGCCATTCGAATACATTATGTTTCAGACGAGCTATCGCTGAGAACAGAAATCAGCTGGCGTCAGAAAATCAAATCGCTGACTCAGCATGCGAAGGATCAGAAATAAAAAATGAAAATAAAAGCTCTCTTCATAATGCGGTTTTAAGTAATACTTCTAATGAAAATAAAAAGAATGTTTTATTATCTACTGGAAATATTCTCTTGCAAAAAAGGGATGAGTCATTAATTAAATGTAGAGTTATTTTCGATTCGGCATCAAATGTTAATATATTGAGTAAGAAAACTAGTGAAATTCTTGGGATTAAATTAGAAAGAATCCAAACATTCGTGGCTGGACTTAATTCGACTAAACAAAATCTGAAAGGAAAATTGAGTACTATCATTTCAAATAAAAGTGGTAGTTTTAAAGAACCGATTGAATTCTTAGTCGCAAATAAAATTACGGGTCTGACTCCAAGTGTCAGCTTAGATATATCGAAAACGAAAATACCCGAGTTTTTAGAATTAGCGGATCCTTCATTTTTTGAAGCGAAAGAAGTTCACGCTTTATTAAATGCCTTTTCGAAACCTTTCGAAACCTTTACGAACCTTTAGACTTTAGAACCTTTAACCTTTTCGAAAAACTTATCAACTTTAGACTAAGCAGAGTGGCTATTTCATCAGATATTCGGCAGGCTTTTTTGCAAATTTGCAATGCGGATAAGCACAAGGATACAGTACGATTTCTGTGGACAGACAGTGATCCTCGTTTAGACTCAAAACCAAAACTTCTAATTTATCGTTTCAAGAGATTACTCTTTGGACTTAACACTAGCCCTTTCCAACTAGCAGCCACCATCAAACATCACATTGAAAAATACAGAGAGGAATATCCCACGACTGTACATCATCTAGATTCTTACATGTACGTAGACGATTGGATAACAGGTCAAGATACCCGAGAAGAGGCACTTATAATATCCCGAAGTGCGAAGAAAATCATGAAGGAAGCTGGAATGGAGATGAGAAAATGGATTAGCAACGACTCCGCCTTGATGAGTCAGTGGTCAGAAGAAGCCTTTGACACTTATCCACTTGATATTCCTATAAACTTAGGAACTAATAATGCTAAGGTATTAGGCATGACATGGTAAACTGAAGATGATTGCTTGATATTAGACACAAAAGGTATTTTAGAATTCGTTTCAAACTGCCGAAATACCAAAAGATTTCTTCTGCAGACCATCGGAAAGATTTTTGATCCAATGGGATTGCTTACTCCCTTCATTATACGGATGAAATGCCTCATTCAAAAACTTTGGGAAAAGAAAGTTTCGTGGGATGAGAATCTCCCTCCCAGCATTATGGAAAGTTGGAAAAATTGGTGTAAAGAGTTACCGCTCCTGGGAGAACTTAGAATTCCAAGACTTGTGCTAGATTCTAACAGTAATAGTGACATCGTAGAAATGCATGTTTTCTGTGATTCCTCGAAACTTGCATACGGAGCTACCATTTATGTGAAACTTAAAATACAAGACAAAGTGTATGTAAATTTCGTTACTTCGAAAAGCAGAGTTGCACCTCTAAAAGGAGTTACTTTGCCTCGACTTGAGCTTCTAGGAGCCTTAGTAGCTGCACGTCTGAGTTCCAAAGTGCTGAAAATCATCAATCAGAAAGGACAGTGCACAGTGTTCCATTGGACCGATTCAAAAGTCGTTTTGTTTTGGATTAGAGGATCTCAGAAAAAATGGAAACAATTCGTCGCTAATCGTGTTCGAGAAATCACTAAGCTGACTGATCCTAATACTTGGTTTCACTGCGCCGGTAAAGAAAATCCCGCAGACTTGTTGACAAGAGGTCTCAGTGCAGAGTCGCTTCTGCACAGCAAAAAGTGGTGGCATGGTCCTTCATTTTTGTTGATTGATTGATTGAATGTAGAGTTTAATGGCACAAAATCCAAACCTTCATTTTTGTTGTCCGATGAACTCGTGAGTGAATTTGACTGTCCAGTGCCAAATGAAGAAGAATACTTACCAGAACTAAAATTCAAAAACTCAGTAGAAACTACAGTCTTGACTTTAAATCATGACAAAACTTTTTTTGATAATCTGATTAATCGTAGCAATAGATTTTTAAGTATAGTTCGAATTTGTAGTTATCTTTTCAGGTACATTCATANAGAAGATTTAGCTCATTTTTATTGTAGAAAAATTTTGATAATGGAAAATGGGAAGTTTTTGCATATTCTAATTCATTTGATAGTACATGAAATATAAATGGTAAATGTAATGGCGATTGTAATTAACTACAAGAGAGAGTTCATTAAAACAATTCTTTACTTCAGGTTCACAATTCCAAACATAGTAGAAGAACAAAGAGCTAGAACTTAAATAGTTTATTTGCATAACTCGTAGCACACAGCTGTAGAACATAGTTTAACCCTTTTGCGCCGACTGCCAGCAAGAAACGCACTTACTTTCCAACCGACACACCGGTGTGCCAGAGCATTTTCTCGTTCACCCCCGGCCATCACTCATTTGTGCCAATGTCCTGAAACGTTTTAGAAAATAAAATTTCTGTGAGAAGATGGCATTGTATGTCCATATGGTTTCAGATACATGTAGATTTGACCTTCTACTCAAAATGAGAGAATTATGACTCGAATACACGTGGTTTTTAGAGGGAAGGAATGGAGAATAAAGAAATATTTTATGGCGGCTCTTAAAATTCGCACGAGGTATTTGTTAACAGTAAGCAGGGGATGTTGGTTGTTGTTTTTCGCTACAGAGTTAGGTATTTCGATTTGTGGTCCAGTTTTTAGTGCAATGCTAGTGATTTCAAGTTTCTCACACGAAAAAAGAATTTTAAGTCATATATTTAGTTTTCAGATATTATAATGTTAAAAGTTATTAAATGGTAAGTACATAATGAAAATAAAAGGTGTAAAATATATATTTAAACAAGAAATAACTCAAGTAAATAAAGTATCTATAGAAATATATATAAAGCATATTTCATTTAAATATTTTACAGAACATTATTAAACAATGCGTTGATATTTCGTTAATTTCATGAATTTAGGCTTAACGGCAAAAAACCCTCCGGCCCTGAACAGATACTCGCGAGAGAGACTGCCGGCCTCAGCGATAAGCGCACGTTTGCGCTTCCCATCGCAAAAGGGTTTATTATTCTAAAAGTTCTTTTCTAATACACCTTGGCTGTTCATCAACGTCTTTTACACATTCAGTACACATGACCTTGTCACTAAAACCACAAAGGGAATATGCATGGCATTATCCGGGTAGTACAATGGCTGGCAACAGAAAGCTAAGCAAGACTCTTAGGCTTTAACCAAGCTGCAGTTGTTTATACAGTACAGCACACAATTCAAGTTCTCTGCATTCACCTTTCAGGGATGCTGTAATTTCCAGCATCAAAATCTTAACAAGACTGATCACGGAATACAAGCCAAAAACAGGATAATAACTAAAGATAAGGTTTCATCTTTCATTAATTAAATTAGCAGAACATGGAACAGAATACAGCAACTGCTCAACAGGTTAAGCAAACTTCCAGTCGTATTCATCTGACTATCTATTTAACATAGTACTGATTCCAGAAGCAGAACACATAATATAAGCTATTAAGAATTACTTGAAAAAATAAATATATGCTAATTACCTATTTATGACGTACATTACAGAAAAATATATGCTAACTAATTACTTATGACATATATTCAGGGATGAGATTAGCCAAAACGCAAAAAAGCTGAATTTCCACGATGGTAAATTTTACGTAAGCGCAACCCTTTAAAAATAAATTCCAGACAGTTTAAGGTAATAAATAATGTGTCGACATACAATTTTGTACTAATCTATTATTATCAAAACGATTACATTGATACTTAACATTTAGTGAAAAAAAAATTACCAATTGAAAAAATAAAGCTGGAAATTATATTTTTCCTCAGTTGACATAAGAGACAATTACTACTTGAGAAA